AGGCTCCAGGAATTGATGGAATACAAATTGAAATCTTTCAATAAACTGATGCAGCACTGGAGGCACTCACTCATCTATGCCAAGAAATTTGGAAGACAGTGACCTGATCAACTGATTGGGAGAGATCCATATTTATGACCATTCCAAAGAGATGCGACCCAATGCAATGCAGAAATCATTGGACAATACCATTAATATCACATGCAAGTAAAATTTTGTTAAAGGTAATTCAAAAACATTTGCAACAGCACATTGACAGGGAACTGTCAGAGGTTCAAGCTGGATTCATACAAGGATGTGGAAGTAGGGATGTCATTGTTGAAATCAGCTGGATCTTGGCTGAAAGCAGAGAATACTAAAAAGATGTTTGTTGTTGTTATTAGGTGCCATCGAGTCGGTACCAACTCATAGCAACCTGATGCACAGCAGAACGAATCACTGTCCGATTCTGCGCAAACCTCACTATCATTGCTACGCTTGAGCCCATGGCTGCTGCCACTGTGTCAATTCACCTAGTTGGGGGTCTTCCTCTCCTTCACTGACCCTCCACTTTACCAAGCATGATGCCCTTCTACAGAGACTGGTCCCTCCTGATAACATGTCCAAAGAGGACTTAAAATACTTACTGATGATGACCAAAGACCACAGCCTTCAGTATGTGTTGCACCTCAATGTAAAGAAAACAAAAATCCTCACCACTGGACTAATAAATAATACATGATTAAATACAGAAAAGATTGAAGGTTTCAAAGACTTTATTTTGCTTGGATCCACTATTAACACTCAGGCAAGCAGCAGTCAAAAAAATCAAGCGACATATTGCATTAAGTAAATCTGCTACCCAAGACCCCTTTAAGGTATTCTAAAGCAAAGATGTTATAGTTTGAGGGCTAATGTGCACCTGACTCAAGCCATGGTATTTTCCTGTAGCTTCATATGCATGTGAAAGTTGGCCAATGAATAAGGCAAATCATTGAAAAATTGATGCATTTGAGTTCTGGTGTTAGAGAAGAATATTGAAAGTACCATGAACTGCTAGAAGAACAAACAGATCCGTGTTGGAAGAAGTACGGCCAGACTTCCCCTTAGAAGTCAGCATGGCCAGACTTTGTCTCTCATACTTCAGACATATTATCAGGAGGGACCAGGCCCTGGAGAAGGACATGATACTTGGTAAAGTGGAGGGTCAGTGAAAAAGAGGAAGACCCCCATCGAGATGGATTGGTAAAGTGGCAGCAGCAGTAATGGGCTCCAGCTGAACAGTGATTATGAGGATAGTGAGGGACTGGGCAGTGTTTCCTTCTGTTGTGCATAAGGTCGCTGTGAGTCGAAACCCGCTCAGTGACACTTCACAACAACATATGGAATTAAATAGACAGCAGCAACTGTAAAGATTAGATAAGAACCTTAAGGGGCAGTGAGCTTATGTTAACGAGGGAGGAAAGCTCAGAAAAGGAGGATGAGGATGGTTGCACAATTCAAAGACTGGCATCGATGTCACTGACTTGTACGTGTTGTTGTTGTTGTTGTTGTTGTTCAGTGCTGCCAAGTCGATTCCAAGCCACAGCGACCCTGTATAGGGCTTCCAAGGAGCAGCTGGTGAGCTTGAACCGCTGACCTTGCAGTTCAAATGGCTTTGCAGTTCAAATGGCTCATTAACCCACAACAGCATACCAGGACTGTTAAATTGGTATATGTTTTGCTGTATTTTCAACAATAAAATAAAATTGAGAGAGGAAAAAAGAACCCAGGACCATAGCCCCTGGGGATCTCTAGGCAGCCCTCTGATGCTGACCTCTCCCTTCTTTAGCGGGGGAGGCTCAGCTAAATAAAGGGACAGAATTTTAAGTACTTTATGTGCAGCTCCATCTTTCCCCCTTCATAGTCATCTGAGTCAAATGTATTGTCTTAATTTTGCTAAAACTGAGGTTGGGAGAGGTTAAATGACCAGCTCAGTCACATTGTTGTTGTTGTGAAGAGCCACTGAGTCAGTTCAGACTCACAGTGACCCTGTATAGGATTTCCAAGGAGTAGCTGGTGGGTTTGAACCACCAACCCCTATGGTTAGCAGTTCAGTGCTTATCCCACAGCACCACACCAGGACTCCTTGGTAGGGCTGAATTCAAGCCCAGATCTGCCTTACTCCTAAACCTGAATCAGAAGCCATAGGTAGGGATGGGAAAGTGTGCGTGTGTGGAGGGGAGGGGGGCAATCACTTGAATTTTCCCTGCCTCAAGACAGAGGGTTCCACTCCTGACATCTACTGCAGGCCTGGGGCAGATGCTGGTCCAGAGGGATCTCAGCACAGGTCATGTGCCCATAGCACAAACTACAACTTGAGTTTCTAATTGCTGTCAATAAGTTGTACAACCATAAGGCATGGGGGCAGGAATCTCCCACAAAAGCCAAGGGTCAACTGGTGGCTACTGTTGCTCCCACAATGCCCCTGAAGGCCCCTTGTAACCTTCAGGCTACCCCCATGTCCTGGCTCAGACAGGGAGGAGGTCCACCCACTTGGGTTGACACTGTGTGTGCCTTGGGGGCTTCGGGATGCTGCTGGGGCAATAGAGGCTCCATACACTAGTCCTCGACCTTAGAGTCAACTCCACCATGCTATGGTAATAAGGAACTCCCAGCAGAAGCGAAGTGACGGACAGCTAATTATCATGGTCCTTCTAGCCAAATTTCCCTGTTTTGTAATATGTTATAAATCTTAGCCTAGTCCAGAGTTCTGGTGTGATGCCGTGTGTTAATATGCTTGACTGTAAAATCGGTTTGAACCCCATGGTAGAAGGTTCAAGCTCACCAACCGCTCCTTGAAAACCCTATATGAGGTCGCTATGGGTTGTAACCAACTCAATGGCACTTAACAACAAGCCTAGTTCTGGTGTGGTCTGTTGGCTAAGCACTCGACTGCAAGGTCGATTGGAACCATAAGGTTGGTGGTTCAAACTCACCAGCTGCTTCTCAGAAACCCTACACAGAGTTGCTGAGTCAGAAGCAACTCAATGGCACTAAACAACAAGCTTGTCATTATGGACCCATTTTGAAATGAGTTGCTAAGGAGTAAAGATTAAGGTTGTGCTAAGGGGACTCTTGTAGCGTAGTGGTTACGACTTGGGCTGTGAACCGCAAGGTCAGCAGTTCGAAACTACCAGCTGCTCCGCCGGAGAAAGATGAGGCTTTCTACTCCCGTAAAGATTTACACCCTCGGAAACCCTGTACAGGGTCGCTATGAGTCGGTTCCGACTCCACGGCACATAACAACTACAACAACAACAAAGGGGACTCTTAGGAGTCCCGGTGTGGCGCTGTGGGTTAATGCGATGGACTGTAAAGTCAGTTGGAACTGCAAGGTTGGTGGTTCAAGCTCATCAGTCATTCCTCGGAAACTCTATACCCAGTCGCTATGGGTCAGAACCAACTTGATGGCACTTACCAACAACAACAAGGGGACTCCTAAGGAACTCTGTCAGAATAGTGGTTATGAGTTGAGCTGCTAACCTCAAGGTCAGAAATTCGAAAGTACCAGCTATTCCACAGGAGAAAGATAAGACTTTCTGCTCCCATAAATAAACATTTACAGCTTCAGAAACTCTATGCAGGGTCTCTGTGAGTCAGAACTGACTCCATCCTGCTGCGTCTCTGGTTGTCCGATTAGCACTGAACTTCAAACAAGGTTAGCAGTTCAAACCCACCAGCCTCTCCTCAGAAACCCTATATTCAAGGTCGCTGTGAGTCGGAAGCGACTCTACAGCACTTAACAACAATAACAATGAATAAAAATTACAGCGGAACTAAGTATTAAGAATGTCCCCACTTAGTAGAAGATGTAACGCCAGTCACCACCCTTAGGTTCCCTTGGGGGCATGGTCTGACAATATAAGACTGCGTTAGACAAACTTACTCTCTTGTCCTGGATCTTGCGTCTAGCTCATGATGTCTGACCTCCAGTTCGTGGGACTTTCGGCCCATTACCTGACCTGTCACAGCCTCTTGCAAGAACAGCCTGTCAGCTGACCTGTTCCCCAGACTATGTAGATGAGAAGAATCCTCCCGATTTATCTGTGAACTACGGATTTGGGACCTGCCAGCCTCCACAATTTCGTGACCCGTTTCTCTTGACACTTGTGAGTTTAGTGAGACTTAGCAGCATGTTGCAGAACCCTGGAACATGTGGGAAGGGAGGAGTGGTGATTGATCTGAAGGGCTATGGAGGGGCATAACATGTCAGAAAAGTTGAGCAGTTGGGATGTCTTTATAACCTCCAACTCAAAGGGACCAGTGTTGTGTTGATTTTTATAAAATACTCATGCACAAAGACATAATCAAGTTTTCTCCTCCAGCCACTGAGCTCAAAGGATGGGCAGAACCGAGGTTCTGGAGGGACTCATTGATTGAAAGTTCCTACTCCGGATAAATTGGGCCTCCGTTCTGAGCGCTAGGCTAAGTAGCTTTCTTCTACCGTCCCCCACAGTCCTTTGAAGAGCCCGCTCCCGCGTCCTCCAGACAAGTCAGAACACGGACGCAGCCATCTTGGGTACCTGATCCCAGGCGCCCGCGGACAGCGCCCACGCCTGCGCACAACGAGAGGGGGCTCGGCGCTGGTGGATAGGGCGTGGCCTCGGCGGAGGGCGGGAGGTGGCGCGGGGCAGTGACGCAATGCGCCCCTAGTGGCCGCTGTGTTCGCACCCTAGCTTCAGAGCTTGGCGGTTCTGTTTCCACCGCCCTGGCGGCGGGAGGCAGTGTCCCAGGTAAGATCCGGGTAGAGCTGAAACTTGAAACTCGAGGGATAGAAGGTGACCCAGCTGAGGGGAACTATGGAACGAAGACTGACGCTGCGCTTCGCTATAGGCCTGCCCTGCGTGACTTCCTCCTGCGGGCTTTGGCCATCTCTGCCCCATGATCCCTCTAGGATGCTGTCCGGTTCACAAGCGCCTTTCGGCCCCTTTCCTTTCCCAAATGCTAACTTCATTCTTTTCTGTCCCCAAGTCTCCGACATGCAGCTGTTTGTCCGCGCTCGGGAGCTGCACACTCTTGAAGTGACTGGCTTGGAAACTGTTGCCCAGATCAAGGTAAAAGGAAACATAGTGCATCTCCGAGCATCCCTACCCCATCCGTCCTTTTGCTGGCCATCCTATGGCTTCTTCAGAGAACAGTTTTGATTCTCCTCTCCCTTCCTAGGCCCATGTTGCCTCGCTGGAGGGTGTCTCTCCTGAAGATAAGGTCGTGTTACTTGCAGGTTCCCCCCTGCAGGATGAAGCCACCCTGGGTCAGTGTGGAGTAGAAGCTCTGATGACCCTGGAAGTTGTTGGCCGCATGCTAGGAGGTGAGTGGAGCTACAGAGGCCCCCAGCAGGTACCCAGAGTCTGTTTGTGGCCTTAGACTTTTTCTGTTTGTCTTTCATAAAGTCTTTGCTTTCGTTCACAATATCTGAAAGTCAGCATGATCCCATGTTATGATTCAGTTTTCTGGCTTTCCTTGAAAAATATAGGAAGATCTAGTAACATTGGGCCTATGCTTCTTCCTATATATCAACCACCTGTCCAAGCAGAGTAATGACTTTCCCTTTTGATTTAAGCATTATGAAAACGAACTCTGCAGTTTGCTACAGTACCCACTCTTCCCTATTGCTTCTCAGAACCAATGTCAGTTACCATTTCGCATGAGGCCTGTGCTGTTGTTTTTCTTATAGTAAAGGAAGGTGAACTCTCTTTTTGTTCCTATGTCTCTCTCAAAGTGGGAAAACGAAAGCTGAATCGAGAACGACGCATGTTTCAAGAAAAGTGGGAGCGAGCTTATTTCTTTGTGGAAGTAAAGAATAGCCCTATGTGCTTAATATGTAACCAGACATTATCAGTGTCAAAAGAATACAACTTAAGACGCCATTATGAAGCAAACCATAGTAAGAATTTTGTCTGGTATACAGAAAAAATGCGTGATGAAAAACTTAGCGAACTGAAAAAAGGACTAAAAGTTTTAAAGCACTTATCATCCAATGCAAATAAAATAAGCGATGCCGCTATAAAATGCAGCTATGTTATAAGTGAAAAAATTGCCCGGGCATCAAAACCTTTTACAGATGGGGAGTTTATAAAAGAGTGTCTATTGAGCGCAGCTGAAGTCATGTGTCCTGAACAGAAACAAGCATTTGCAAGCGTTAGTCTAACTGGAAACACTGTTGCTCAGCGAGTAAAAGATATGGCTGAGAATTTACAGGACAGGTTACGAGACAAAGTGAAATCATTTGTGGCATTTTCCATCGCAGTTGATGAGAGTACATACATAAACAGTACGAGCCAATTAATTATATTTATCCGTGGTGTCGATGAGAATTTTGATGTCACAGAAGAGCTTTTGGACATGGTACCAATGACAGATCCAGCATCTGAAAATGACTTATTTTTGACTGTTGAGAAAAGTCTTGAAAAGTTTAATGTTGACTGGTCAAAATTAGTAAGTGTGACTACAGACGGTGCGCCTAGGATGGTCTGTGATAACACTGGGCTTGTTGCAAAACTTAAATCCAAAGTCAGAATGCTTCACAAGGATACAGAGCTTAAATGCATTCACTGCATTATTCACCAGGAGTTGTTTTGTATGAAAAGGTTAAAAGTAGACCATGTCATGGATGTAGTGGTTAACACCGTGAACTGCATCCGTTCTCATGGCTCGAACCACAGACAGTTCAGTGCTTTGCTGGATGAATTAGATGCACAATATGGTAATCTCCTTTACCATACAAAGGTAAGGTGGCTTAGTCGTGGCAAGGTACTGAAGAGATTTTTCGAACTCATGAAAGAGATAGATTTGTTCATGTCATCCAAGGGAAAATCCCTTCCCCAGCTCACCAATGAAGATTGGATCCGAGACCTGGCCTTTTTGGTTGATATCACAAACCATCTAAACACTTTGAATATTTCTCTGCAAAGACGTTCACAGGTAGTTACACAAATGTATGATTCGGTTTGTTCTTTCCTAGCAGAACTGAGTCTTTGGGAAACTCATTTGACAGTAAATAATCTGACTCACTTTCCTACTCTGAAATCCGTTTCCAGAAATGAAAGTGATGGCTTGATCTATGTCCCCAAAATTGTAGAGTTGAAGACTGAATTCCAAAAGAGGTTCTTTGATTTTAAGCATTATGAAAACGAACTCACATTATTTAGCTCACCTTTCTCAATTAACATTGATAGTGTTCATGAAGAACTACAAATGGAAGTTATTGAATTGCAATGTAATACGATACTAAAAACAAAATACGACAACATTGGAATACCAGAATTCTACAAATACCTTGGCAAGAGTTACCCTAAATATAGAAACCACTGTGTGAAGCTTCTATCCATGTTTGGAAGTACCTATGTCTGTGAACAGCTGTTTTCTGTTATGAAATTGAGTAAAACTAAAAATCGCTCTCAGTTAAAAGATACAAGATTGAATTCAGTCCTACACATTGCAACTCGGAATATGCGACCTGACATAGACTTCTTGGTACAGAAGAAGAGGTGTCAGGTTTCTGGTTCCAAGTCAAAGGAATAACATAAAAGAATGTTCAGTAGTTAAAGATTTCTATTTTTCTAAGTGTATTTTAAAATTTTAACTTTTAAATACCCTGTATTATAAATTTTGTATGTTCTTTGCTTTTGCCATGATCGAATTAAAAAAAAAAAAAACCAACATTGAGTGTAGGGTGGGGGTTGGCATTTGATTGTTCATATATTTTTGTGCCGTGCTTGACCGTCCAGCTTGAGACCCCTGTCTAATAGAGTCAATTGACCTGTTAGTTTTTCTGCCCTTCAACAGGTCTCAGACTAATGAGACTGACTGGCACCTGCTGCCTTGAGCAAATTGTATTTGAGTTCTAGAATTTTTGTGGTTCCTTAAGCCAGGTTAAGGACTGATTTAATGCCTCTTTGCTCCAAGTTCAACCTTCATTGCCTGCTCTCCAAAAATGGATCTGGTCTATTAAAATAGTTTTCCTTGGCCAGGAGGCATGTTAACCTTTGTTAGTAGGGGGCGCTGGAGAGACATTACACAACCAGCACCAGGTTTCTACAGTAACCGCCCCCCTGCTCCTCTCTTGAGGCTGTTTTGTATTAGAGCCAGTATGGGGAGCTCCTCCTTCCTGAACAGCTTCCTGGGTACCTTAGAGGGCAACTTTCTAATAAGTTCTGCCAATGTGACACCGCAGCAATTGCTCAGATGTTCTGTAAGACTAGACTAGCAAGGTTTGAATTTCATCCTTGGGATGGAGACCCTCCTTGGGGGCTCTATCTCAGCCCTAGAAGTAGTGGCTGCTCCTTATAGCTACTTTATAACTCTTACTACCCAGTTCCTATTTATTCCAAGTCTCTGTTGTAGTTAATAGTTCTTTATAATCTTAAATGTAAAGAATTATTAAATAAATAAATAAATAAACTATTACTATGGAGTCAGTTAGGAGCTCTGGTAGCATAGTGGTTACGAGTCGGGCTGTTAACCTCACAGTCAGCAGTTAGAAACAACCAGAGGTTCCATGGGAGAAAGATGGGGCTTTCTGCTTCCATAAAGATTGACAGCTTTGGAAACCCTATGTAGTAGGGTCGCTCTGAGTTGGAATTGACTCCATGGAACATCACCACAATCACCGTGGAGTCGATTCCGACGCATAGCTACCCTAGATAGGATTTCCAAGGCTGTAATCTTATGAGAGTAGACAGCCTTGTGTTTCTCCCGTGGGGCTGCTGGTGAATTTTAACTGCTGACCTCGCAGTTACCAGCCCAACGCTTAAGAGACAAATTGTTGTTATTGTTGTTGTTAAGTGCTGACAAGTCTGTTCCAACTTATAGCAACTCTGTGTAGGGTTTCCAAAAAGCAGCTCATGGGTTTGAGCCATTTGACCTTGTGGTTAACAGTCCAGTACTTGTCCTCCAACACCTCACCAGGAGTCTGAAAATACAAATTAGAATGTTCAGATTACTTTGCGGGTTTCCTCTCCTGATTGGACCCTAACTGATACAGGCTAATTTCTTACCTATCTTAGAATTCCTCCAAAACAGAAATGTTTGGATACTGAGCAACTAAGAGGATAAATGTCCAAATACACAGGACTTCCCTTTCCCTGGGCCACTGAGGCTCCAAATGGATCCCTAATTAGGCATGCATATTGTGTGGCACTGTGGGTTAATGCGCCAGACTGCCAAGTTGTTTGAATCGCAAGGTCGGTGGTGTAAGCTCACCAGTCGCTCCTTGGAAACCCTATACAGGGTCACTATGGGTTGCAATTGACTTGACAGCACTTGACAACGAGATTGTTATTCTAGGTTTTGTTGTCACTGAGTCATCTTCGACTCTTGGCAGCCTTAACGTTGAACAGACTAGAATGTTGTCCAGTCCTGTGCCGCTTTCCTGATCTTTGGTAGGTTTGAGCCCATTGTCCATCTCATAGAGGGTTTGATTGGCCTGCTGCTTCCATGGACAGTGATTATTGATTCAACTAGAATGAAATCATTGATGGCTTACATTTTTTACCTGCTTATCAAATTATTTATCGGTCCATATATTTATAATGCTGTTGATATATCCCTACTCTTAGTCACCCTAGATAGGGTCTCCAAGGAGTGGCTGGTGGGTTTGAACTGCTGACCTTGCAGTTAGCAGTCCAGTGCATATCCTATAGGGCCACAGTTGGTTTTAACTTATTACTGTTATGCCTCATTTTTAAGTTAACCTGGATACCAGAAAACAATAGATCGGTCTAACTCAACAGACATTTGTTGAGGAGATACCATGAGCAAGGCCTGTTTGCTCACTGTTCATTCTATGACCATGAACTTCACTTTCATTCATAAAATGCAGCTGTTACCACATGTGTTATTTATTACTGCAGAAAAGTTTCCTCAAAATGTAGTAGCTGAACACAACCAATATTTATTATCTCATGTGATTTCTGAGGGTCAGGAATCAGGAAGTGCCTTCGTTGGGTGGTTCCAGCTCAGGGGCTCAAGAGCTTGCAGTCAGGGGCTCAAGAGCTTGGTAGGACAGCAATCTCTGGAAAGTTTCCCTGGGTCTAGAGATTCTGGATCTAAGATGGCTCATCATAATCCTCTTGGCAAAAGACCTTAGTTTCTTGCTACCTGGGCCTCTTCATAGGACTTCTTACAACATGGGTACTGATTTTCCCCTGAGAAAGTGTTCCAAGAAACAAGGTGGGTGCAGTATCTCTGTAAGCTAATGTTGGAAACGCCTTACTAGCACTTCTCTCATATTGCATTGGTCATACAGACTGGCCCTGGTATAATGTGGGAGGGGACTACACGAGACTGTGAATACCAGGAGGTAAGAGGGGACACTGGGCCATCCTGGAAGCTGTTGCCTTCCACACCATATACCTCCCGTGGCAGGATTTTAACAACAAAGCTGGATGTGGATTTAAGTAAGAGCTCCTCCTACTACAGGGACACAAACAGCCAGCCAGTGGATGGAGAGTTGGATGATGCTAAGGAACTTACAAGCAAACCACAAAGTTCCTGGGTTTATTTCGTTTAACAAGTATTTACTGAATGGCTGGGGTATACCAGGCATCTGTGTGCTGAAGAGTCAGTAGTAAACACACCCATTTTGATCCTTGCATTCTGTCCAAGAGCTGTGACTAGCTCTGAGTTTACTCCATAACTTAGCAGCTCAAAACAACAATTTTATTGTGTGGATCAGGAATCGGGGAAGGTCTTCTTGGAGTCGCTCAAGTCACTGCAGTCCCTCTGAAAGGCACCTCTTTCACCTGTTCCACCACTGATCTTAAGGCGTTCAGCTGAGTGCTTAGCCACCGCACCACCAGGCCTAACTAGTAGGGCAAAATTGATGGTGGCTGTGCGCCGTGGAGTCGGTTCCAACTCATAGCGACCCTACAAGGGTTTCCAAGGCTGTAAATCTTTATGGGAGCAGAAAGCCTCATCTTTCTCCCATGGAACAGCTGGTAGTTTCAAACTGCTGACCTTGAGGTTAGCAGCTGGACTCGTAACCACTACACTACCAGAGCTCCTAGATGAACTGCTGCATTGGTCTTGCCTTGTTGTCAGGTGCCGTCCAGATGGTTCCACCTCCGTGTGATTCACCAGAAGGAAGCACTGACCGACCCTGGGCCACCCTTACAGTCCCTGCACTGGAGCCCACTACTGCTATTGTGCCAGTCCATCTCGTAGGGGGTCTTCCTCATTGTTTCTTTGCTGACCCTCCACTTTAGCAAGCATGATGCCTTAAAAACAAGATCCAAAGGGATCAAACTTTGCATTCATTGCAAAAACAAAAAGTGAAGTGGTGGAAAAAGATACATGCTGCTAACACTGATCAAAACAGAGCTAGAATGTCTATTTTAATAACAGACAAATTCTGTTTCAAAGCAGAGTATTACCAAGGGTTAATGGGATCATTTCATAATGATGAAAGGGTCAGTTCATCAAGAAGACATGAAATCCTTAAATATTTATACATTTAAGAGCAAAATTTTAAACTACAAGAAATGAAAACTGGCAGAATTAAATAAGGAGAAATAGACAAATTCAGAATAATAAAAAATTGTAATATTTGAAAGAACAAGTAACAGAAAATCAGTAAGGCTATAGAAGACTTGGGAGTCTTGGTGTGGTGTTGTGGGTTAATGTACCAGACTGCAAAGCCGTTTGAACTGCAAGGTCGGCAGTTCAAGCTCACCAGCTGCTCCTCGGAAACCCTATACAGGGAAGCTATGGGTCAAAACCAGCTTGATGGCACTTAACAACAGCAACAACAATAGAAGACTTGAACAATACTAACAACCCACTTGATCCAGTTGACAGAACACTCCAACCAAAATCAAGCTTTTCGAGTACATGTGGAGCGTTTACCAAGATATACCGTATTTGGGCCATAAAACAAATCTCAATAACTAAAAAAGGATTCAAACCATACAGAGTGTGTTCTTTGACTATAATGTAAATAAATTAGAACTTTATAAAAGAAAGATCTCTGGAAAATCCCCAGATAATCTGGAAATAGTGTTATTAGGTGCTGTCAAGTCGGCTCTGATTCATAGCACAATAGAACAACACTCTTTCTGGTCCCACGCCATCCTCAGAATTGTTATGCTTGCCTACTGCTCATTTGAAAATAATCCATGGGTCAGACAAGAAACCAAAAGGAAAATTAGAAAATATTTTTAATTGAACAAGAATGAAAATGTGTTAAAAGTTGCAGGATACAGCTAGAACAAAACTTCGATTTATAACATGAAATGCTGATACTAGAAAAGATCTCAAAAGGTGATGCCATCATCCTTCACCACGAGAAACTGGTTAAAGGGCATCAACAAAGCACCTATAGATAACGTCAGACTTAGTGCTGAAAAAAGTGTATCCCCAAGATTAGAAAATAGGCAATAATACCTGTTCTTATCACTTGCAGTCAGCAACTTACTAGAAGTTCTAGCTAGTGCAATAAGGCAAGAAAAAGTAAAAGGGGTCAAATAGTAAAAGAG